CTGAAACTTACATGGAAGCATCCTGGGGTAGTGTAGATTCTAAATTGTTCATATCATGACCCCGGGGGTAGGGCGGGGCCACAATAGGTATTACAAGGTAGGAAATTAGGTGAAGAACAGCAGGGCCAAAGTTACTCAGGTGAGCGATGTGGCCCATGGGCCTCTTGTTTTAATATATTACATTAAAATTCCTAATTCATGCAATTATTTTGATTTTTTTCCCTATTATCAAGTTATCCACAGTCAGCAGAAGAACCTACAGATTCTCTATCCCAGGAACCATTCATTGAACACTCATCATCTGCATCCTCTAATGAACCATCTACCTCCTCTACTAGGCCATCATCATTGGAACCATTGCCTACATCATCATGTATGCATATATATCTGATTGGTAGTGATATAAAGCTTTCATTATAATGTATTTTCCTTGCTCACAGATTTTTTTTTATTTAATCATTAAACTGATACAAAATCTAGATTAGTAGTTTACTACATGTACTGTAAATGTTACAGAAAAAAATGTGACCAGTTACATCAATGTCTGTTAAGCAGCTTGAGCTACGTACTAGAAAAGAATGTTGATAACGTGTAAACTCAAGCTGCCTAGAAGAAATAACCCTGTTTACTTTACAATATTTCTAAAAATCATTTTCAGTAGGATTTTTTCTTAAATTTTGATTTTCAGAAATGATTAATTGTGAGGCAATGCTTAAGGAAGACAGTTGCCACAAAACGTACAGTACATATTTTGATCAGGACACATCTTATTACTAATATTTTATGAGGAAATAAAAATAAGTTCTTAGTAGGTAACAAAGGTTTTACAGGTAGAGCATATTCATCAGGAAAGAAAACAGAATAAAGAAGATTTTTTTAATAAAGAGTACAATCTAGAAATGCTTTGGAGGGATTCTGAATGCATATACAATGTCAATCACTTTCCTAGTGGAAATAAGTGTTCACTTCAATCCATTGTTTTATTTACACACTAATGTAGGTTAGATAACAGTACATGTTTTTCTGAGAAATATTCCCTTGTCAGTCTGAACAAATGTGTTGAAATTACAGTTTAACTTGCCTGAACTTAGATTTACTAGCCTGTTTATGTTGTGATGTAGAAATGTATGATTTTGTCTTCATCGTTTGCTGCATAGCAATCAAGGTGGTGCAAAATTGTTTCATATTCTATATGCCACAGTGACAACATATAAAAAATCCTGATTAACAAACGCAAGGGTTTATATACCACAATGTTGATAGATAGGTGATAAGAAAATAAATATGGTGTTTGCCTATTTATGAGTTGTGTTCAACTTTAATTTGCATTTTTTAAAAAAAAAATACCGGATATTATTGTTTGTGCAGCATCTGCTTCAACAACCAGTTTGATAGGTAAATTACTTAAAATGATTTATTTGTTGAACCATTGTAGGGTGGTTTGTCCATGGTGACTGTCATGTGAAACTAATATTACTCAATAAGGTACATGTGAATTAATATCTGAAAAAATGTTTTCAGCACAGCATGCCACTACAGAGATGGAGGATGTGGGAAATGACCTTATTGGCATACTTGGAGTGACATCAGAACTAGGTATTCTGCAACTTGTAATTGTTTAATTTGTAATTTTAAGCACTTCAATTGCGGAAATTGAAATTTTTATGGTCACCTCAGGTGACTTACTGTTACTGTTTTTGTTTGTCATCCTTTTTTAATCTATCATCAGTCGTCAGTCCACCATTAACTTTGGAACATTTTCAGATTTATCCCTGGAACCGCAGAACCAATTTCAACCACCTTTTACATTAAGCATCTTTGAGTAAAGGGAAACAAATTTTTTTGATTTTCGTTGTGCCTGTCCCACTGGGATCTGAGGGGTGGCACTAAAACCATAAAATCTTTAATCTTTAAAAAAATCTTCCTTGCTCCCAGGCATTGAGCAGTTAAACTGTTACCATGATTGTAATGCACATTGTTTCCTCTTTCGATTTTGTGAAATTCATGGCCCCAAGGTCAGGGTTCTAGAGAAAGAGTTGAGCTGTAACCTTATTGTGAAAATTAATGCATATATTTTTTTTCTT